AAAGCATCTGTTTTATATAATAGATAATTATAATTATTCATTTATTCTTTCTTGAATTGTAAAGTTTGTTTTAATCCTAATTACTATATTTATCATAAATATTAATTACTTTATAATATTATTAATATATCTTGTTTACGTAATATTAAAGTTAACTAAGCAATTTCATGATATTTTTGAAATTTAACTCATTTTATATGATGTCTATGAATAGGTCCAGAATTCTGGGGAATACTCAATCCTGACTGGCATTTGTGTAGTAAAGGACATCGACAGTCACCCATTGATATAAAACCTAATCTTTTATTATATGATCCCAATCTCAGACCTATTCATTTAAATAAAAATAGGTATGAATTTGAGTTTTTGATGATTTAATTTAATTATAATATGCAAAAGATTAATTTTAAGATATCTGATATTAGTTGGCTCCAAAATTTTCTCTTTTTATTATATCTATTAAATTAGTTTATTATAAAGATTTCTTTAAAAACATTATTTTAAAATTCAAATATAAAATTAAAATGGATAATAAGTTAATGACATAAGTTTGTATTATGAATTATAATTTCTATTATTAAAATATATTTTTAAGATTGTATCAATATTACTAGTATATGATACATAAATAATTTGCAACTGAATGTATTAGTATGGAGAATGTAATGAAACAATTTGAATGTAACACATATTGTTATTGATGAGATAAAAAGTGTTTTGAATGTCGTTTAAGACCTATTGACTGATATATTGCAGAGTGAATGGCATTCTGGAGAATAACGGCCACAGCGTTGTCTTCCATTTAAATAGATCTCCAGAGGAAAGTGATGCCATTGTCTCAAACTCAATAAACAGTCCCTCTTCTAGTGCCACCACAAGTGTAATCAACATAAGCGGAGGACCCCTTTCCTACACCTATAGCTTTCATTCATTGCATCTACACTTTGGTCGAACCGATTCATACGGTTCTGAACATAGAATATCAGGGCTTTCATTCCCGGCTGAGGTATCAATCATTAGTCATATATTGGTTTTATTTTCGACCTGTTCATTTTTTCATAGAGACCATTATATTTTTATTTCAAATCATTTATCTTTATAGTAATTACAGTATATTTTTATTGGATTTTAGATTCAAATCTTAGGATACAATTCAGAGTTATATCAAAATATGAGCGAAGCCTCCACTAAACCAAATGGTTTGGTTGCTATCGCACTGTTGGTTCAGGTATGCATTTTGTATAAATACTTTCAAATAATCTGAATATTTGCATAATTTATAAGTGTTTTTATTTTCTTGTACAAACTCAAATAAATTTTATTTTAATACACAGAATATATTTGCATAAAAAATGAGTTTGTTGTTTTTGTATTTAAAAAATGAAATATAACTGATAAATTAGCTTAAAATTTTCTATAGAATTTCAACATTTACTATTATTTTATAAATTCTAAATTAGTTTTTTTAGAAAAATCAGATATTTTTGTTTTTCCAATACAATTAATATTTTTTGACAATAGCTTAACACAGATAATATTAACAGTATTAACAATTTGTATTAACAGTATATTGTGCTGAATTGTATTTCTGTTGAATTTTTTGTTTGGTTAAAGTAGAAAATTTTATACAAATTAAAAAAAATAAAACAATGATTTCAAAATAATATCGCTAAATTAGTAAAACAAAATATTATAGATTTATGTGTATATTATTTGAGTTTATTATAAAATTATTTATGTTGTAAAGTCTGGAGAGACGAGCTCTGAAGAACTGCGATCATTGACATCTCAATTGCAACACATTAGATACAGAGGTAAACAATCTCATTAAATGTCACTTTTTACCAAATGTTTAATCCCAAAATTATAGGCCAAAACGTAACTCTCAGGTCATTGAGTATTAGAGATTTAGTTCCTGATGACCGCTTTTATATGACATATGAGGGGTCGCTAACAATGCCCTCATGTTCTGAAGTGGTCACTTGGATTATCATCAATAAGGTAACCATCATTGCTATTTCTTGTATAAACCTAACATTATATTATAGTACGAGTATTTAGATATTATTAATAAACTATAGTTTAAACTTAAAGATTTTATTCATAAATGACTACTGTATTTAAAAAAAATAATATAAGAGCTATTTTCTAAGATGTAAATTTTAAACGGAATAAAAATGAATTGCATATTAAGTTCATTTGCACTCAGGCTTTGCAATCATTTATAATGATTTACCGCAAAACTAAAGGATTGATGAAAAAGTTATTCAAAGGATTGCTTGTCTGGTGTTGACATATAAGAGAGTGTATCCGCCCATTCAAACATTAAAATCAAATGATTTGCAAATAGTTTTTAAGAATTTGTTCAATTCAGAATTTATAATATCCACAATTCTACTCATTATTACCGTAATTGCAATATTATTCAATTCTTATGACAAGATTTTCATAAAACTCATCAAACAGTCATTAAAATAAACAATTAATTGAAACATATTAGGCAAATGAGATATAAAATTATATAATTAAATAAAATACGAATCATTTATAAACATTCATTATTTCAAATAATGATAATTTATAGATAAATATTCAAATCATTAAAGTTTCTGTTAGCAGACTTGTTTTATTAGATTTAATAATAAAGTTAATGACAATTTGTTAATTAATTTTTTAGCCTCTCTTCATAACAAGACAACAGGTAAGACTCCTTATTATCATATGATATAATTATACAATTGTACATTTACATTACATACTATTAACAAATTCAGAGCATTACACATTACATTATGAGTATTACTGTACAGGTATTGCAATATTAATTATATAGTATCAAGAAAATTATTTTAAATTAAATATACTTTTTAATTTAAAATTCGTCTTGAGATTATTTATATAATACATAATAATATTTTGAGATTTACACAATTCATAATAGTTTATTAAATTAAGATTTCTTTTACAAATTAATGAAATTTAAAGCTAAAATAGGAAATTATTGTATATTTAGATATCTTTTGACTTTTTTGTCTTATCACCAAATGTTTAGGTAATAAAATAAAATAATAAATGTCTAAAAGGCAATGATATTATGTATTAAGTTCGGGTGTGTCCACACATATATCGTTTATAAGGGGAGTAAATGATTAAATGATTGGATTAAATAAACTTAACAGATTGGACATTAAAATAAATTCAATTTACAAAATTAATTTTAAAATTGAAAAGTTTATCTATTTCATGTTTATAATTTAAAATATTAAATTAAAATTATTAAATTGAAGTATACTTGATAATATGCAATCGAATATGAATAAAAATATTTTTTATATTCATTATACCGGTAAATGAGCAATATACTTTTAAATAAGACATTGTTCTGTTTAATGGTTATTTCTTATAAGAATTGAGTGAATAGATAAGATCTTATTGGAAACCAACTATAATATTATTATATCATTTGATTGTATAAAAAATATACATTTATATCAATGGATATATTGGTAAAAACGTGAAGAAATAGTTTATGATTTGTTGAACATATCAATATATAAAACTAAGTTTCTGTATATATAGCTTATATAGGGAACAGATAAATAAAAAGGTATATATATATCGATCATTCATTGAAAACAGTTCTAAAGTTCTCAATCATAAGTCATATTCAGTGGGAAAATGAATGCAAGACTCGGATTTGATATTTACTGATAAATTGTTGAAAAAATCAAAACCGCTTCAAGCGATCAAATGTGTAAAAATGAGGAAAATTTTATTTACAAACTCTAAACAGCAAAATAAAAATTCTTATATATTTGTTTTTTACATTATAGAAATGAGAAAAGTGTAAAAAGTTTGTATAAGTGTAGATAAACAACTGATTTGTTTTCGATATGAAATCATAAATTTCGAAAAAGAATAGAAATATATTATAATAAATAATGGTTTTCAGTCTTTTTGTTTGATACTGTATTTCAACGAAAAAATTCGATTGAATTTTGTCCAAATGAATGACAAATATTGTATTTCTTCAGACAACAACAATTCAGACACATCTGTAAAATTCAAACTGAAATATAGAAACAAAATAACAAACAATTTTTTAACACAAATAATGCTTCAATGGATTCAAAAGCAGAATATTTGAGTTGAATATAACAAGTGAACACATGATTGGGACAAGTTTTGGGGCAAACAATGCTTAGACTACAATGATATGCTGCACTCGATTCAAACTTATTATTATATAAAATACAGTATGTTTCCAACAACACTAACAACTATTAATATATAGAAAATAAAAGTTTTCGAATACATGCTCGTTATAACGATAAAAGTTTTACACACAAAATTTGTTAACATTATTGACATTTTTACAGTTATACGCATTGAGGAAATTAATGCAAGGTATGTTTGTGTCTTTTCTATGTCTCAGTTTGTAACCATTCCCTCTCTTCCCACTCTCTCTCTCTCTCTCTCTCTCTCTCTCTCTCTCACGTCAGTGACGAATGACTATCTTTTACTATTAAAGCCAACACTAATGTTATTTGTCTCAATCAAATTCACATTTGCTTCTCTGCAAAATGTCTTAAATGGTTTATTGGATTAAACTTAAACTAAACAATCAATCTTTCAAATGAATATTTTTAAAAAGTATTTCTCTTCTATAACAGTAGAAAATAATTTAATGATTTCAACCAAAAATATATATAACTTAGAACTAAGTAATGATAAATAGTTTTATGTCATAATTAAGAATAGTTTAAAGACTTTACGAAGGGATCGAAAGCATTGCATAAATTTATTTTGCTTTCAGGTTTAATAAAATAATATGTAAAATGATTATTTTGATAAAATCATTCGTCATATAAATATGATTATGATGTTTGAAAATGCATAAAAATGCAAAACTTGTAGATTTAGTAATTGAATGGATATAAAAAGAAAATATTTAGAATATGTGTTTATAGAGGCAACGGTTTCTGTAAATTGAATTATAAGTGTTGAGAATAATTAAATGTTTGAAACACATTACCCAAATAGGAAACTAATTTGATTTGAGCTACAAATTGAGAGATTAAAGTATCAAAACATTGCTTTATATAAATACTCCGTAAATGTATTAGAGTTGAGCGAATCTTATGCACACAGAAGTTGACTAAATCTTAATGAAATTTTATGAAAATGTTGTAATCGTTTGTATGGTTTGTTGTGAAGGAGAGGCAGAGCTGCCGAAAGCTCCGCTCGGAGACAATTATCGTCCGATACAGCCTTTGAACGAACGAGTCGTGCGAACCAACATTGACTTCAAGAGGGAACAGGTATTTGCTATTTGCTGTAGATTTGCATTCATTCAATAATCTCACTATTTTAAGCTCCACTTTAGTGTCAATTTAAATGCAAAATAGTTGCATCAAAGCGTTTCAATTGTGAGCTAAAATGCATTAAATTGATTGATGTGTCGATACTGAGCATCACTTATATTAGTATATTCTTTACAATCAATGTTTCGATCATTTCTATGAAATCCTGTATAAAAAAGGAATTTTTCTCATCTCTTAAGTCTCTGTTCATCAGAATTTAAGCCCTCAAACAGGTCTCGCATCAAAATATCCAGACTCTCCTCCCTCTCCCTCTTCCTCATCCATATTATATTATAGTCAACTCATACTGAAGTGCAGATTCTTTCCCATCCTTTTCATCAAATAATATCATAACTTATAGTTTATATCAAATTTGAGTCTATTTCGTAGCAAATAGGATTAATCGCAAAATGTTTTTTGCTTATTTAAGTGGTTTTATATTTCATTTGGTTGAGTATAACTTACAGTAAACTTTATTACATATTATATTAGGGAACTGTCTGTCCAACCATGAAGAGGAATTTGCATTATGAAGGTAATGGTAATATCAATACGTTTTATACACATCTGCCAAACATATGTGCTTTGATTGAAGTGATGCCACACTTAATGCTATTCATTATGCACAGCAAACATTACCAATATATGCAGCACAGTGTGTATTGTAGTACATTCAGTCAAACATACGTTACACATAACAAGTAAAGTTTCTTGTTACCATTGTGATTTACTAAATAAGTATGTAAAAAATAACTTTCAAGTATTTTTTAAAAATATTTATCATATACTTAAAAATCAAATTTAAATTTTTTTTATAGTCATTAATACAAATTTCATATTGAATCTTGAGATCAATTATTATTGTTATTGAGCAATTTTACAATGTTACAATTTATACAATGTTTTGTTAGTATATAATTTATATTGCACACAGTATATTATTATATAAATATTTAATTGATATATCAAATTATGATTAGTTTATAAACATATGGCATTAATTATTGTTATGGTAAACATGCACATGAAATTATAATTGAGACACAATGAAAATTTAATTCAATTATAAACTCAATTAATTTTTTACTCACATAATTAATGAATGATAAAATAGTGCGGAATATTAAACAGATAGTGGTGTGTGAGTTGAATGACAACCACAGCATGTATTACATAATTAGGATATACTGTACAGATGTGTGGCCTAAAGGCAATGAGAGTACATATTAATACTTATCAATAATCATAAAACTATGTTTATATTTCCCTTGCCTTCAGTCAACTCAAAGCTTTGGAAACCATAATAAGTAGTCATTGAATTGGCGTCAACTTTAAGAAAGTTAAGCCAAACAATCAATAATAACATAAGAGCTTTGCAATTATGAATCGTATAAATTGTGATATGAAATAAACAAAACTTATTGATTGCCTTTTGGTTTGCATTTTTATCCAATGGCCATAAATACAATATTTTAACAAATGTAAGTTTTATTCATTTAAATCACATTTATGTGAACCCCTTATAAGCCACTTCACTGTTTTGCACATATTTATAAATAATTCACAAAAAGCAAAAATTTAGATATATGGTAGTTACTTTTTAAAACTGTGTTTACTACAGCCTAGTCACAATATTTGAGTGGTGCTATAATAACTAATTCAATTAATTAAAAGTATAACATTCATATAACCAGTATGTTTCATAAGATTTCCAAATAAAATAAGTAGTAACTCTATAATTATGTAATAATGTTTTAACTAAATAAATATATTGTTTTGATATTTAGTTAAAATTTATTATTCAGTTGATATTTATTTAGAAATTAAGAGAATAATTCAATTTTATATAAAAAAAATCTATTATAGCTAAATGACTCTTAGTCACAGTATTACTCTACATAAGTTATTATATCATATACATCAAAATGTTGAATAATAATTTAGAAACATTGTCTTAATTTTCATTTGTTAGTTTTATTAAATGGTGCAAACAGATTCTTGAAATTTATTATATATATATTTTTGTATTATTTAAATTATTCTTTATAATTAATATTATTCATTATTTATGTACTTACTAACCAATGTATTATTTTATTCATTTAGAAAACACTTCAAAAAGGATAAAGATTTGATAGAATTAATATTAGAGAATAACTTCATTATAATGTAATAAAGTTTGCAATTTATAACAATGTAAATAATAAAATATAGCAAAATCTAGTACATTTAAAATTACTGTCAATAATTTGTATAAAAGACACTGGTAACTTTACTGAAAGTTACTAAATTTACTTAAAAGTTTACTAAATTATAGCTTTAATGAATAATTGTTGTCATTGTTAATATTGATAGTAATTCATAGTAATTATATTAACAGTGAAATACATTGTATATTTGTAATATATAAACAATAGATTTTATAAATAAGTAAATGTATAAATTGAAAGTACTTATAAAATAGCAACTGTTTAATTTTATTGTGTAACTGACCATAAATTAATAAAAATTGTAAATAATAGAAATGACTGTAAAGACATTTGTTTTTCATTATCATATTTTGTATTAATGATTAAAATTACATTGTATAAAAATAATTATGGTTGCAGTATTAAGTTTTTAATAAAAATAAAGGTAACATTACAACAGATTTAAGTTTATTTTTAAAAAAGCATTATATAATTATACCATAGTAGTACAGTACAATTGTAATAATATAAAAACTGATTTATTAAAAAATCATACTGATAAATTTATACGGTAGTTTAATAAACGTGATTATTGAAAATAAATGCCATGATTGTTTGTTAACTAAAGGTTTTTAATAGCTTAAGAATAAAATATACGGTACAAAACAAATAACAAATAATCAAAATAAAACTAATATTACAGTTTTAATATCTATCTTTGTACAAATAAACACACCACTAATTTAAATAATGTAGTTTATTATTCTAATTGATAAAATCTACAAAATCTTAACCCGAATAGTAAATAAAGGGCTCCCGATTATTCCCGAACTAACTAAATGGTGGCCAGAATTTAATTGTCTAATTCGATTTGACCAAGTATATCGGAAAATGTCCACCAATAATGCATAAAAAATTTATTTTGTCTATCAATTGTCCAGTTTTTAATTTACAACTTACTGTACATTTACGAAGTCTTCCATTGAAATAACATTAACGGTTATGTAAAATGTACATTTAAGTTAAAAACTGGTCAATTGACAGTCAAAATAACTTTTTATGCAATTTTTTTAATTAAATATCCTAGAGAAAACATTGGTGGACATTTTCCGATATAGTTTGATCAAATCCAATTAGGCAATCAAATTCTGGCCATCATTTAGTGAGTTCGGGAATAATCGGGAGCCCTTTATTGACTGTTTCAGCTAATATTTTGTAAATTTTATCAATTAGAATAATAAACTATATTATTTAAATTAGTTTAGGGTGGTTTAAACACCAGATTTGTCTTAGTGGCCACTTTCCCGGGCTCCCGGACATCGGTCACAAATACCGGATCCACGGCTTCCCCGATGCCCGATTGAACCCGTGTAAAGTGTTTTTATATTTAAACAACTCAATTTAGTGTATTGAGGCCTTACCGAGACAATTGAATTGATCCCTGGCCAGATAACTACGCTTTACCGCAATTACTATAAACTTCTGTCACTCTTTTCAAAAAACGTTTTTAAATTTTGGTCACTTCGGCCGAACGGGTAAATATATACTTACCAAAACTGATCAAGACATTTTCTTGTGGTGATATCTGATGTTATAACTAATTATTGTAAGTTTTTTGGTCTCCCGATTAATTAGACCAATAAAACATGAGTGACTCTAAATATATGACCGCATCTGTAAAGTATACTGGTAGTTATTTTATAGACATTAACAATAAAGTCACTAATATAAATACACAGCATGGATAATATTTTTTAATTTGAAATAATAATTTAAGTTATCAAAAGGTTAACGGTTAAGTTGTCTTAACTTTTCCTTATAAGATTTATAACTGTTATTCATATTCACTTCTGGAGTTATGAATGACTATTAATCCATCCATGGTCAAATTGATTCGCAGATTGCTATATATTAGAGCATTTTTAATAAAAATATTTTGATTATTTAAGATCTAAACTAATAAATTATTTAAAATGTCGATTACATTTGTTGTATTACCAATTTAAACGGACATTAAATTGTAACATGTAAAATTTAAACATGTCACAATT